TAGAGCAAACTAGAAGTGTTTTGACAGTTATTTCCACGGAAACTTCAGCTTAGAACACCACCACAGGTTTTGTAGACTAAAATGAAAAGAATAGTTTAGACTGGATTGTAAGAACCATTTAATCACAAGGCTACTGACCATGAAATTATGTGCACAACATACCTGAAGTCTGTGACAGCACCACAAAAAAATACACCGTGATGAAATGCTTAAGACCCATTTCCATTACTCCATCATGCATAGCATGTTAAGATTGAGGCACTATATCATAGTCGCACGCCATCAGCTTAGGTTTCGTTTAGAATTGTTTTATTTTACTGGTCCACACTTCACATAGAGAAAAGTTAAGGGTGAAGTGTAAAATCCCATGCCAGCTAAAGTAATTGGTTACTTAGCCAGGAAGCATACAGAAAGTTAACCTGCAAAGCCATTTTATTCCCAGCGATTTGCTTGAACCCCACTGTGGAGTAAATGTAAACAAGTTCAATGATTTCCTAACCCATTTAAGCAGCCTTTTCTTCACCTTGGGTATCAGGAACACCTAAGATAACTTTATCACAAATCAGAGACACCACAGTTTAGCATCTTTTTTGCTGTGAAATATCTTTGACTAACCTACAGCTGCTCAATTACTACCTAGGCTTTAGAAGACCTATGAACGTTAGAATATCTTTACGGCACTTTCCAAATCGATCCTTTTTAGCATCCCTCCAAGAGTGGAAAGAATTACTTGTATTTAATGGAGAAGCAGCTGCAGCACAGGCATGGTGACTCATCTACCAGTTAAGTGCCCAGAATACCATGGGGACAACACAGGAACACAGAACAGTGTGTCCAAAGCAGATCACACAAGACATTACAGACCTGCAGCTCGAGTTTCCAAAACATTAATTGCATCTCCTTTCTATATTTAGTCCCCTTCATATATTTATTTTGTTCACCATTTTCCGTGGCCAGGCTACACTGCTCTTCAGTCACTTCCTGAACATGTTTCTCTTCCATCTGGTTCCTTCCCTTATATATGATGCTTATTCCCTCTGCTATCCAATTATTTGGATTATACTGGTGGCTCCTGGAAACTGCAAGCAGCTCCAGCTTCCTGGATCTTCTGAGCTTCCTCTTAGTAGATCAGGCAGCTGGATGCCTTTTCATTTTAGCCAGCTTTTAGGAAATAACACAGTGGAAGAGGGCTATGCATTGAATATAGGTTCTGCAGTTCTTTGCTCCTGAAAGACATCCATTTCCCACAAAACCTACAGGGTTCCAAATCTCAAGCAGAATTCTGTCCATCAGCTTGTGTTCTTTTATCAAAGTTTCCACGTATATTAGGAACCTTCAATATCTTTTCTTTCTTTAGGGTAACCAAGAAATGTAACACTGTCAAAATACTCCTGCTAAACTTACTGTTCATCTCTCATGCCATTTTCCCTCCAATTATTAGAAATTTAGACTAGTTATATGTACAGCTGAAATTCTGTTTTTAAATCATCTGAAGAAACAGCCTGTTTAATGGCACAAAGTGACCAAGTCCCATCAAAGCCAATGAGACTTTCACATACAATTGTTCTGAAAAAGATTGTTAGTATTTCTCTTTCCGAGTATGTGTTTTCAGAGTCTGAATTTAGGCACTTAAGAGATGGGATGAAGGCAGATGTCAGCCTGGAGAACGCATCTCAAATCCCTTATGCTACATTGCACCTTACCAAGACCAATTTTACTGAGTAACCCCAAGCTGACTCTTATTCCAGTGAATCTAAACATAGCCATCTCACTTCTTTCAGGACCGCGTGGAAGAGATTAAGGCAGGTTCCTCTGTTTTTTTTTTTTCTGGTCATATTAAAGCTTTTCTGTTCTGATGCATGATCAGATCTCACGTTCTGCATAATATATACTTAACTGAAATAGGGATTAAATGATTCTGAACTTCCTGTTGCTACCTAGTTCCATATCTGTACTCAAATTCTACCACAGCATCCTGATACCCAGAGAAGAATGAGAGTGTAAATATACACACTCGAAATATGGTAGTTTATCATCTTCAGATGTCTTAATTCCTTGGCTGGGAAGTACTGTAATATCAATAAAATTACAACAAAACTGATGTTCAGATTTCCTGGCTCCTCACATCTTTTCGAAAGGGTTCTTCCTTCTGGATGCTGAGTTCTTTAGAGCTCTGCAAGATGCCTTTGCCTCTTCACAAGAATAATGTGAGCCTAAGATTTAATTAGCTGAAATATCACCGTAACTGAGTCGCACATAATCTTAACAAGTTTTACCTAGATCAACATGTCTTCCCTTTTTGGTATAACTTTGCAATTCTTCCAGCATATGTTTTCAGTCCTGTTTGACTTCAGGAAAATATTAAGTGTTATGAAATGACTTCATCACCATTCTATAGGTGCCATTTTTGTATACTTTTTGCTAACTTCCCAGTCCAACGTTGGCAGGGACAAGCCTATGTGGATCTCTGCTGCATCTGCAGCTCCTAGGATCTCTGTTAGGATATAGCCTAGACAATGCAGCAGATCAAACAGCCTCTGAAAGAACTGGTCCCTCATGCTGGACAGATACCTGGTCCCTCATGCTGGACAGACACCTCAATAATGGTTAGGCAAAGCAACAAACATTCACGACAGCACATCATCTATACAACCACTAAGGAAGACTTGTGCTACCAGAAATATATTATGGCAACGCTATTAACTTACTCTTAAGCTTTTATTTAAACTTAAAATGATAGCAACATCCAGCCGGACAGCAGAAAACAAATCAGTGTGTGAAGCAACTATAAATTCATTCCAAAAACATCTACTGTATCACCATGAAAATGTCACACTACTTCTAATTTTAAAATTATTTCCCTGTAGCTTTGCATTTCATTACATTGCAGTGATAAAATGCAACTGTAATGGTTATTAGACTGTTATTTGGGCAGCAACTAATATAATGGTGGCATGGTTCTTAAATCAGGCTTCTGGAATGATAAACAATGCATAGCAATAACCCTTACATTCTCTCTCCGCACAGTATCAGATTGTTATAGAAAAATACATGGAAATAAGCAGTAATGAAATTGCTCATGTACCATCTGATATACAACTGGAAGATTTAAGCAAAAAAAATTCTATAGCCTCAACTTCCTTGTTGTAGAGAGTTTAGCCAAAATGCTTGCCCTAAAGAAAACCCTGCCACCAGTAGTCATCAGCTGACTTCACTAAATACCGGCAGACTGTCTTTTTCCCATAGTTCAGAAGATTTGATCTGAACCAGTTCAGATCAAAATTTCAGTTTGAAATATTGCAGTTGTACCAGCAAACACAACTGAAACATGCTTTATTTAAATTGTTTAAGCACGTTACCTGCTGAGGATAAGTACTAGATATGCAGACACTGAAATTAAAACCCTAAGGAGGAGGAGAGTCCTACAGCTGAACTGCAGCTCAGAAGTTGTGGCTGAATTTGACTTTACTGACTGGGTTCAACATCATCCTCTTTCAAACCTCTGTGTGCCAATGTTAACGCACCCCACACCTGGAACTGGCCGGAGGCCAAATCTGCAGGGCATTTACCCGTGCCCCAGCTAAGCCTCAGCTTAACGCTCTGTAAAGTACAGAAAGCATGATGAGCCTACAATGAACTAGCTGGCTAATGCTGTCTACCAGAAACAGTGATTTTTTCATTCATTCATCTTAAGAGTCAGGTAGCTCAAACCCAAGTTAGAAGAATCCCCTTGCAATTGATTCTGGCCATCATCAGTTAAGGGAGAAGAGAACAGCATATCATATTTGCACCCTAGGAACAGAAATAATTCTGATGCACAAAGTACTTTAATAAAGGGATCTGCTCTTTCACAGGGAAACTTGGATCAAAATTAATCCTTTTGCTTTAAATATATTTATGCAGATTAGGCAAAGAATTCATTTAAATAATAATTAATATTTGGATACGTCCATATATTGTAGGATACACAAGCTCCCAAAGCATTCAACTGAATTTTCAGTTGAACAAAAATAATCATGCCAGTCTATACAGTTCATGCAAAATTTAGTTTTGTCATCTGCAATTAACAGTTCATTCAGAAACTGGGAAAGCTTAAACGTCAGTGATCTGACCTGGTTCCAAATGAAAAAGTATGTGATGATATGGCAGAGGTAGCTATTTCCCTCTGCCCAGTTCTTTCCCCCTTTTAGCATATGCTAACAGAGAACAAGTTACCCTTTTGCCCGATACAATAGTACTCAGCTCTAGAGACTGGAAGTGAATTGCAATTGCCTGTGCACACACTTTGCTGTCAGCCTAAAACCACTGGTCTTCCAGCAGTTAGAGCTCTTCAGGAATTCACATTTGGTATGTTGAATACTCTTGGCACTGAAAGGTTAAAGTTTATAAGTGCTTTATTAGCAGCTTTTCTCCCCACCCCAGCTTGCAGATTTCTCACTTTCCATATCGCAATTCCAGTTGCTTTCTAAAGCGTGCTTCTTACAAAGAAATTAGCTGTAGTTACTTAAATGCATAGTGGCATTATTTGAGGAGTAGAAATATATTACCGTAGAAATGCCAGGGAAATGGCAGCTGCTGCCTTTTCAGAAAAAAACATTGTCATTTGGGAACATGCAGATGATTTCATGACAGAGAAGTCTAGATTAATTTGCCAGCCCGACTTAGAAAAATTAAATCTATAACTTAAGAAACAATCAGAGGAGTTGCTGGTGTTAAGTCTGATTTTTTGGCACGAATTAAGGCTTTCAAAGAGAGCTACTAGAATGACAACTCAAAACCTATTTTGTTTTAATGCAAACTCCAAAATTCTGTCAAAAGGCTTCCCCTTTGGCAATGAGCATTAGCAAGATCATTACATTTTAAAGAATTACTGATGAACTGAAAGGCAAAGTGTGTTGCCAAGTATTTAAGAATCAGCAATTCAGCACCCTGAGTAAGATCAAAATAAACTATACCCATTTTTTTTTTATTGCTGCAAGAAGGACTAGAAATAACATTACCTGTTAGCAAGTCAGTTGTCACCACTGATGTGTCTGAAAAACAAATAACGGGTTTCAAAGTGGTTGCCTATTGATCAACTTATTCCAAGCTCCACATACATTTAGATGAACCGCAGATCTGAATGAGAGTCACTTCATGTGAGAGCAGATTCCCCTGGATGCCAGTTCTGTAACACAGACCAAAATAAGTCTTTTTCCGTCCTCCCTCTGCCAAAAGGGAAATGTCAGATGTCCTCTAAAGCCATGTGTCTCCAAGGCATCTAAAGCACAACTCAAACAGATTAAGTCTTAAAGGCAGGTTAAATTGATATAAAGCATTTAGTAATCTGCCATCAGAATATCAGTTCTTAGCTATATATTTTTTTTCTTTTCCTAACCATGAGCTCCCTGACTGTCTCTTCTTAGGTTGTCTGAAGAGGTTTATATTTAGCGCACGACCCCTTTCACCGTAAGAATTACAAGAGAGATCTGGGAAGATTTTAAAATTCAGAATTGCAGCCTGTCAGTTTGCCTTCACACAGCTTCGAGCCCAGTTGTGAATCTTTGCAGGTGGATGTGGCGGGGGAGTTGCAGCCTTCTTTCCCCTTCTTGCTGTTGGGGAAAAAGAGGCAGAAGGAAAGGAATACGAGTTTTACAACATTAGGACAGATAAAGAAGGCAACTGTAACATACGTATATGCCACACAACATAGGAAGTGATGCCTCCAAAGAGAGAGAGCCTGCACATCACAGTGACAGTACACAGCCATCCAAGGCTTCTCTAAACCCACATACAATTTTAAACAGTGTTGATGACTGAAATGTGTTTATTTAAAAAAATAGGTCAGAGCTCATCAACTCATGGATATTTTTATGATCCATCCAATCGGGAACTCTGAAAACAGTAGAGCTTCTCCTGAGTGTACAAAACAAAGGAGCATTTTAAGCACAAACACTAAATATGCTTAATAAAAAAATCCATGTGTAATGAACCCAAACCTGTAAGAGGCACTTAAAAAAAAAAAAAAGAATGCTTACTTTTAAAAGCCCTCTGGAGCATGATGAATTTCTCTCCTCACTCAGCACTGTAACTCCTAGTTCACTCTGGTATTTTCAAGACCACCCCATGTTGCGTTGCATCAGAAGGTCTGAAGCTGTGCTTTTAACTACAGAATCTCCTCTATATTACTTTAATCTAGCTGCTAAAGCCTTCCTAGGATTCAATGAAAGCAGCTGCAACTAGATAGAGTCAGAGTATATAGTGCAGTTTCTTTAATTTTATCTGCAATAAGGAATATTAATCACTGAACTATCTTACTGAGGGACCTAGTGCATTCTTCATTGCCTAACATCTCTATATCAAGGCCAGAATATCTTTTTGCACGACACACTATATTTGTGATGGCAGAGAGGCCCAGGTGCAGTGCAGCCCTCCCTGACCACAGGCAGAATTTGGGCTTCTCTAGGATGCTCTTTGGGGAACAAAGCTGGTAGGGGAGAGATGAGATCCACCTGATGAGTGGAACAAGAGCATCTTTGCTACCAGGCTTGCTAGCCTAGTGAGGAAAGCTTTGAACTGGAGGAGGAAGACCAAAGCAGGAACGGGAAGAATGGAGAAAATCAGGGTATGTCCCACCAACTGCAAGACAGGGAGGTGCTCACACTCCACTCAGAAAATGGTGTGACCAGGGACCCATCTGAAGTTCTTGAAAATGAACGCATACAGCACAAGAGACAAAGGAATCAGAAACCTGTGTGCACCTGCAGAGCTATGACGTAACTGGGATGACATGAGATAGGCTGGGACAGGTGACAAATGGAGCCCTATAATGGATAGATATAGGCTCTGCAGGAAGAACAGGCAGGGAAGACCAGAAGAGCTTGCGCAGGGACCCATCTGAAGTTCTTGAAAATGAACGCATACAGCACAAGAGACAAAGGAATCAGAAACCTGTGTGCACCTGCAGAGCTATGACGTAACTGGGATGACATGAGATAGGCTGGGACAGGTGACAAATGGAGCCCTATAATGGATAGATATAGGCTCTGCAGGAAGAACAGGCAGGGAAAACCAGAAGAGCTTGCACTCAGCATAAATGCTATACGCACAGTTTTGATATAGGACTGCTGAAAAGCTGGTTAAGAGCTGATGGACTAGACTCAGAGGATGTCAAAAGGGGAGCAGTCATAGCAGACATCTCCAGACAACCCAATCAAAGCTTCTTTGAACAAGGGAAAGCCTCATGACTGCAGGCCTTGGTTCTCATGCCAAATTTCAGCCACCCTAACACATCTGTGGGAAGGGCTACATGGTGAGGTACAAGCAATCCAGGAGACATATGGTGTGTCTTTAGGGCAATTTTTTGATGCCAATGCTGGACAGGCTGCCTGGAAGTGGGGCTCTGCTGAAC